CCCTGGGTGGCACAAACATTTTTAACAGTATTCTTCTAATCCATGAACATGGCATATCTTTCCATTTATTTGTGTTTTCAGTAGTTTGTGTCATCAAATATCTCAATTTTCAGAGTACAGGTGTATTACCTCCTTGGTTAAATTTATTCTTAGGTATTTCTTTCTTTTAGATATAATTATAAATGGGATTATTTTCTTAACTCCTCTTGGAATTAATTATTAAGTATAAAAATGCAACAAATTTCTGGGTTTCTTAGTTTTGCATCCTGTGACTTTTCTTAATTCATTTATAGTTCTGATAGTTTTTTGGTGGCATCTTTAGGGTTTTTTATATATAGCATCATGTCATCTGCAAATAGTGACAGTTTTAAGTCTTCCATTCCAATTCAGATACCTTTTATTTCATTTTCTTGCCTAATTGCTGTGGCTGGGACTTCTAGCACTGTGTCACATTAACGTGGGGAGAGTGGACAATCTTGTTTTATCTGTGATCTTAGAGGACATGCTTTCAGCTTTTCACCATTGAGTATGATGTGAGCTCTGGGTCTGCCATATATGGCCTTTATTATGTTGAGAATGTCTTCTTTCCGTATTAGTCTATGTGCCCTTTAAACCGCTGTTTTGTTGCTCTGTCCCAGGGTTGGCACTTGTGAGGGCAGGCCCCCTCAGTGATATCTCCCAACACTGCCAGTCTTCACATTGGGAATGAGGTTCCATCATTATCTTGTTTCACATGTCTTCTGCCCTTCTCTATAAGTCTCTTTTTTGTTTATTGTACAGAAGCTTTTCATTTGGTCCTCAGCTCTTCTCCAGGAGGAATTACTCTATAGGTGCATGCAGATTTTGTGTGTCTGTGGGAGGAGGTAAATTCAGCATCTTCTTGGACTGTCTCCACTTAATACTTTTTATTAGTCATTTGTGCATGTTTTATCTCCTCTAACAAGATAATAGGCTCCTTGCTTTCAGTAAATGCTTCTAAATGAGTGAATGAATGTCATTTGAATTCATAAGTTCTGCTTCCATCACTAGCATATTTTTTGATAAAATATTGCAGTATTTTATTTTATTTTATTTTATTTATTTTATTTTAACGTTTATTTATTTTACTTTTTTTTTTTAATTTTTTTTTTTCCAACGTTTATTTATTTTTGGGACAGAGAGAGACAGAGCATGAACGGGGGAGGGGCAGAGAGAGAGGGAGACACAGAATCGGAAACAGGCTCCAGGCTCCGAGCCGTCAGCCCAGAGCCTGACGCGGGGCTCAAACTCACGGACCGCGAGATCGTGACCTGGCTGAAGTCGGACGCGTAACTGATTGCGCCACCCAGGCGCCCCTATTTATTTTACTTTTGAGAGACAGACACAGGGTGCAAGAGGGCGAAGGGCGGAGAGAGAGGGAGACACAGAATGTGAAGCAGGCTCTAGGCTCTGAGCTTTCAACACAGAGCCCGATGCGGGGCTTGAACCCATGAACCATAACATCATGACCTGAGCTGCAGTCAGCCACTCAACTCACTGAGCCACGCAGGCATCCCAAATATTGCATTATTTTAAAACTGTCCTATATTGCTTAGGAAAACATCATTATATTTGTGTGCTAATAAGGGAACTGTACTAGATGATCTCTGTGGATCATTCCAGTTTCGAAGTTATACTGCCTGTAATTCTAAGTGTGTGTGTGTGTGTGTGTGTGTACACACACAGTGTTCAAAAACTCACCCAACCCTTTATTTGCGTATCTCCGTAATTACATTTATTATAGATCATTTGAAGAATTAGAGGTAAACAGTTTCATAATCATAGAGACCCAGATGTTTCATTCATTCTCAGATTTAATCCTTTAAAAAGAAAGTGGCTAATAGCCAAGGGGAAAGAAAAACACTTACTGAGAAATATTTTTCAACTAATACACCTACAACTTTGTTGAAAGCCCAATCCATATGTGCATATTGCTGCTCATTAAAGATTATTATACTTGTGTCTTTATTTCTATTCTTAAAAATGAGTTTAAATGCTTTCTTTAAATTTTTTTTAATGTTTGTTTATTTTTGAGAGAGACAGAGATAGAATGTGAGTGGGTTAGGGGCAGAGAGACAGGGAGACACAGAATCCGAAGCAGGCTCCAGGCTCCGAGCTGTCGGCACAGAGCCCGACGCAGGGCTCGAACTCAGAGCTGTGAGATCATGACCTGAACTAAAGTCAGATGCTCAACCGACTGAGCCACCTAGGCGCCCCAAGTTTAAATGTTTTTAAAATAGCCTTTACTGGGGCACCTGGGAGGCTCAAGTGGTTAAGTGTCTGACTCTTGATTTTGGCTCAGTCATGAGCTCATGGTGGTGAGAATGAGCCCCATGTTGGGCTCCACACTGGGCATGGAGCCTGCTTGGGATTCTCTCTCTCCCTCTCCCTTTGCTCCTCCCCCACTCAGGTAGGTGAGCATGCACACTCTCTCTCAAAATTACATGCATACATAAATACATAAAGCAGCCTTTACTGTTTTAGATGTTTTAGGTTTATGAGAAAATTGAGGGAACGGTGCAGACATTTCCCATATACCCCATGCTACCACACATGAATAGCCTCCCATTATCAACATCACTCACCAGAGGGGAACTTTTGGGGTTGTTGTTTTTTTTTTTTTAACAGACGATGAACCCACATCAACGCATTATAATCACCCAGTGTCCACAGTTTACCTTCAGATTTGCCGTTGGTATTTTCAGTCTATGGGATTGGACAGATACATAATGATACATACTCATCATTACTGCACCTTACAGACTGTTTTCACTGTCCTGCAAATTCCCTATCCTCGCCTGTTCATCCTCTCCTCCCCTACCCCGGCTAACCACTGCCCTTTTTATTGTCTCCATAGTTTGACTTTTTCCAGAAGGTGGTTATGTTATTGGAATCATATACTAATGTCACCTTTTCTGATTGGCTTCTTTAACTGAGTCCTTTGCATTTAAGATTCCCCATGTCTTTCCATGGCTTGATAGCTCCTTGCTGTTTAGTGCTGAGTCATATTCTGTTGTCTAATGCTCCATGCTTTATTCCTCCATCCGCCTGCTGAAGTACACCTTGGATGCTTCCCAGTGTCGACAGTTAGGAATAAAGCTGCTGTAAACATCCATGTGCAGGTTTCAGTGTAATCTTTCAAATGTCTTTCACTGTGTCCTTTACTGTGAAGTTTGCTCTTCAAAGACAGTATACATATTAAAAGAATCTTTGTTATTTAAACTTTATCTTACCAAATATGCCTTTCCTTTAGTCTACCTTTAAGATTAACAGACCAAAAAGATCCCCCACTGCCACTTAACGGGCGAATAAAAACATTTGTACTATAGAGGCTTTTCCTGTTTTTGCTATTTTATTAATTCAGACTTGAAGTAAAAATCTGATTATCAGCCACACTCTAATTTTTAATTAATTTGAACATATGTGCATCTGTTACTGGCAAGAACTCTTCTGAAATTTTTGAATTAAAATTTAATTTTAAGAAATTAATTGAATGATAGTATTAATTTGAAATATGTATGCTTTAAATATTACTTATAACAAAAGATCACACAAGCATAATTTGTTAGCTGTGTTCAGCTAATGAAAATAGAAGGCAGAGATAATAAAAACATTTCATATGGGGTAAACAAAATAAACAATGAATAATTTAAATGTACTTGATTGAAAATAGGTACTATATGAAGTGTTACTGTTTTAAAGGATAATATCCAAGAGGAAATCATTGTAGTCTGTTAAAGGGCTCTCTTTTAAGTTGTTTCTGCTTTTTAAATAAGCATATTTTCAACTGACAGTAGGGACATAGGAACATTTTTGCTGTGGAGTAGAAGGACTAGTCAAGTGCGTTAAGATGTTAATGCAAACAGTAGGTTTGGAGAGTTTAGTTTCTCCTGTTCTACACCTGGCTGACAGGTGTAAATGCAGGGTATTACAGTGCATGAAACACAGCTTTTCTGTACAGTTATAAATTAAATAAATACAGTTTTCCCTAGACTGTTTATAAATCATACAAAATGGATTACTGAGTAAATGACGTTTCTGCAAGTTTGTACCCACAACGTTACCCTGGTACCATTTCTGTGCACAAGCTGAGATGACAGACCAACTGAGACGTTACCAGGAAGGTATCCTCCTCTAAAGTCACCTGAGCACCTGCCAGGGGTATTGCAGAGAAACAAATCACTTAAGGCTCCCGAATTTATTTCCTCTAGCTCCGTTTCCTCACTTGACTATAAAACGAGTACCACACTAACGTCCAGTGCTGTCGTGAGCATAAAATGAGTTAATACAAGGAAAGCACATAGTAAGTGTTGCACAAGACTTTGTTGTTTTTGTTATTTGTTCCAAATGGTAATTTTTTATTGTACTCATATACTTGATGGTGATGTGTGTTTCATCAAATGGAGTATAAATGGATTTATAAAATGCCAGATAAGAAGAAAAGTCTGTTCAAAAACACCTTTTAACACAGAATCCTTTCTTCTTGGACATTACCCTCCTCTCTAACGCTTGATTCAGTGAGGGGGCAAATTTACACTGAGATCTGGAACTGGACCCCAGCTGAGTCGCATTTCCAGGACTTGGAGGCCCTGAGGATTCCAGCTGCACACCCAGTGCTCCGTTGGTCAGCTGAGCGTACTGGGGGTGACCGCCCAGGACCAGGCGAGGCGCCAGCCCACACTCACATGCTGTGTGTTATGTTATTTTTCATCTTTTAGACATTTTATTTTGAGTGGATTTTTAGCAGCAGAAGGTTGTGCAAGGAAGCTTTTTTTATGATGGATAAATATGTCAAAAAGAGTACAGTCGACTTCACAGTGTAAAGTAGAAATCTCTTTTTTTTCCAGACTCTATTTCAAAGCAATTTGAAACGGCATAATTGTCTTATTAAATGTTACTTTTGCATAAGAGTTCTTTAATAGTTTGTCTTTCAAGTTTACAGAGTTTTTAAATGGGTTTCTGTCTTCTTTTTTCCCCTCTAGAGCTGGGTAGAGAGAGCCGAGAAACAGGCTCTTCTCTCTCATACACTTGACCTGTCAGAACTGTTCCACCCAGACACGTTTCTCAACGCTCTTCGCCAGGAAACTGCACGGTAAGTGAAGGTCTCCGCTTACTGTCCTTCCTTGTCAAGAAGTAAACCGACTATTGAATTAAGGGAGTCGTGTTATTTCCTAATACTTGACATTTCTTAACACAGTTAACTTTGAGTTTAAAAAGCAGTGCTTTTAATGACGATGCTTTTTATTAGAATTGAAACAGGTGAAATTTGGTTTTTAAATGTTGCTGATTGATCCGGACATGCCTTGTCTGATAGGACTGGTGGAGGTGCTATGGAGCCATGTATAGTTAAAGGGGTCAACACGAAGTAAAAGTAAAAATGTAATTTCTCACTCACGCCAGCCACATCCGGTTGCACAGTGGCTACCACTTTGCGCTGCATGAAGATGTTTTTATTTCTGCAGAAAATTCTGTTGGACGTTGCTGACCAGGCTTCTTGGTGGGGGGCAGGATTTGGTAGTTAAGATCGAGCTCTTTTTTTTTTTTTTAATTTTTTTTTTTTCAACGTTTATTTATTTTTTTTGGGACAGAGAGAGACCGGGCATGAACGGGGGAGGGGCAGAGAGAGAGGGAGACACAGAATCGGAAACAGGCTCCAGGCTCCGAGCCATCAGCCCAGAGCCTGACGCGGGGCTCGAATTCACGGACCGCGAGATCGTGACCTGGCTGAAGTCGGACGCTTAACCGACTGCGCCACCCAGGCACCCCTCGAGCTCTTTTTTAAAACACACTTGGATGATTGTGTCCTGTATACACTGATTTTTTTTTTCAATAAATTAGAATGTAATTAAAGAGCTGCACGGTGGAAAAATAAACTGAACCAAATTTAGTTGTTGTTTACAGACTTGGGGGATTTCAATTTGTAGTGCGTTTAGGATCGTGGTATAAATACCAACATTTCAGCTCAACTGATAAGCATTTATGAGACACTTACCACGGGCCTGCATTTCAGGGTCACGGTCAAACGGAGACGGTAGAATAAAAACGAAAGGCCGAATGCTTAAGGGACTTGTGCTGCCTTGAAGAGGAGACTGACGTTACCGGTTAACTTGACAAACTTAGTAGGAAGCCTAAGATACTGTGCATCGTTTAAGAGCTCTGATTACTTGCACATTGTGAATATTTCAGTTACAGATAAATAGGGAATTATCTGTTTTCCGTTACTCTTGGTAGTTTAATTGTTGAGGATTATTTTTGCTGACATTTGACGCTTTACTTTTCCAGGGCGATGGGCTGTTCTGTAGATAGCCTGAAATTTGTAGCTTCGTGGAAAGGCCGACTGCAAGAAGCAAAGCTGCAGATTAAGGTATTTTATTAATTTTTGATGTTTATCTGGGTCTAAAACTAGTATTACCAAGTGTGACTCCAGTCTCAAACTCATTGCTCTCTTTAGTACAAGGTCAGCAGAAGTAGATTGTATTTCCTATGTGAAAAATCCAAGTTAAGATTCAGGATGAAACAACTTGTACAAAACAGTCTTTTCTAATGCAAAAATAGGAATCTTAGGGACACAACATATTTGGAAATGTAACTTTTGGTACAGAATGATAAAAATCTTCAACTTCTGTTGGGCTTCCCGCTCTAGAATTCAATCCAGTAAGGATTAACTCTACAATAAAGCACGTGTAAAATATTGTAATGACAAACAGACTGGTCCTATCCTCCAGGACTTTACAGTCTGATAGCACAGTGTCAGTCCAGGCCGTCCATGTTAAAGGAAAGTTAAGCCGTCTTTTGCAGCATAAACGTTCCCTGGTCGCTCTCCTGTGAAAACTCCATTACTTTTATTGTAATGAGGGTGCAACAGTAGGCAATCATTTGAATGTTCGTAACAGAACTGGTTAAAAGTCTGCAGGGGGCCCTCTCCAAGCTCCTCCCGCCTCCCTCCACACCAGCCATGTGTCCTAGCCAACCTCTCCTGGCCCAGCCCTGCACCCCGTCTACACACTGCTGCTGCTGACGGTCACGTGTGGCCTCTGGTTGCTCTCCACATGTGCCCCCTGGTCCTGTCTTAGGACACGTGTTCCCCACCCCCACCCCCAGTCCCACCTTAGGACACGTGTTTCCCCCCTCCATCCACCCTTAGGATACGCATCCCCCCTGGTCCCGCCTTAGGACACACCAGCGCTTCCCACTGTAAGTCCCCAGGATCTGTCCTAGTGCGGCACATGTAATTCAGTTTTTCTTTTTTTTCCTCTTCATTTTTAAAAAGTTTATTTGTTTATTTTGAGAGAGAGAGTGCAGTGAAAGGCAGAGAGAGAGAGAGTCAGTCAGTCCCAGGCAGGCTCCATGCTGTCATCACAGAGCCCGATGCAGGGCTTGTACTCATAAACCATGAGATCATGACCTGAGCTGAAACCAAGAGTCAGACGCTTAACCGACTGCGCCACCCAGGTGCCCCCGATTGAGTTTTTAAATAAATTAAACCCAAGAATACAGTTCTTGGACTTAGTCAACCTTAGGCCACTGGCTTTTTGTAGGTCCTGTTTTCATTGTTGTGGTTCCCAATTTAGCAGTTTTCTTTTCATCTCACTACTACTTGATAACATACTATAGAATTTATTTATGTTTGTTATCTGCTGTCTGTCTGACTCCACTGGACCATAGTCCCACGAGAGTAGTGATGTTTTCTGGTTTTGTTGTAGCCCAAATACGTGAAGCTGTTGCCGTGGCCTAAAGGGTCCACAGTTAAGCCCTGTGGAACTGGTGGTTGGGGGCGCAGGGGCGAGTGGCTGGGCTGCAGGAGGTGTAGCCACAGCTGGAAGGCTGTTGTACCCGTGCCAGAACTCTGATCGCTCACGATAAGGTAGACCCTTCTCTTCTGACTCTCCACAGATTGCTATAAAATTCTCCCTTTAAGCTGAGGAAATTAGAAGGGTTTTCTTTCCTACCATTGCATTTTATTTGAACCTTCGCCCCTAGCCTGTGTTGCTGGTGGTCATACACCTTTGCCTGGCTGTTAAGGAAAGTGGGGGGGGGGGGCGGGGAACACGTAGAATCCAGGAGCCACTCACTGGACCAGGCTGCATGGTCTCTGGCAGCTGTGAGGCACACATATAGTGTGTGACATCACTGTTCAGATATACAGCGGTATAAAAGCAAGGAAGTGAGTTATACTCTGAGTCAGAGCATGTTAATATTTCCATAACTGTGTTGCCTCTGTTCTTACAAAATGGGAATAAAATATTCTATAACCAGAAAGCACCAGGCTTCTACATTATGCCTTGTAGGTTGGGGGGAAAAGGCTGATAGTTAGTGAAACAAGATTGTAATCTTAGTTTTCCAAAAAGAGTCGTGTGCCTTTAAGCAATTTTAATGGAGTAATCTGAGTCCTTGTTGTCTCGTTTATCAATGGATTTAAATAATAACTTCCTTGAAACATTTATTGTGAGGATCTCTGAAAACAGGAGGGTTTTTAAATCGTATTTTTAAGGCGATTAGTTCACTTGGAGAACTTTGGATCTGAATTGTGTTTGAGAGCTCCTGTTGCTTTGGGACCCGGTGGAGGCAGGGAGCCACGCAGGGCTGCCACTTGACTTCAGCTGCTTCCTGCTGGGCGGGGGCTGCCCAGGTACCGATCCCCTCCTTCGTGGAGCTTATGGAGAAATAGAAGTGAAAAGAAGGAAGGAATGAGACGTTTGGGTGCTAAGGTGTCCCGAGGAGACCTGTTCGCCAGAATTGGGGTTAGGAGCTTAGACACATCCCCCCCAAGTGAGTGTGAGTGGCGGTTGTACTCGATTGGCCCAGCAGTGGAAAATCTACCACAAAAACAAAAACAAAAACAAAACAGAAACAACCAAAAGAGCGCTTAAACTATTCAGATTAAGACATGTATTTAAGATAGTTTTCATTTTTCAAATAGCACTTAATGTAACCATGCCTAGATGGTCATCTTATTATCAAGTGGACACTGTTCTTCCAAACACAGGGGAGTGTAAGGTAACACTGTGCTGAGTGTGGGTGTCTGCACGATTTTGTGTGTGCAGACTAATAAGGTCGTCTAAACCAGCTCCACAGGGGCGTCTGAGGGGCTCAGCCAGTTGGGTGTCCCAACTTTGGCTCAGGTCATGATCTTGCAGTTTGTGAGTTTGAGCCCCACATCGAGCTGTGTGCTACAGTTCCGAGCCTGGGGCCTGCTTCAGATTCTGTGTCTCCCTGTCTCTTTTCCCTTCCCTGCTCGTGCTTTGTCTCTCTCTTTCAGAAATAAACATTAAAAATAAATAAATAAATGAAGCTAGCTCCACAAAAATGGTTTTCCTTAAGTGATAGAAGCAGCCAGAAGTTTTAAATTGGTTTGATATTCTCATAGTATTAATGGCTTTGAATGTCTTAAATATTTCCACCAGTTTAAAGGATTTGTCATTTTAGTTGACTGTACTGCTTAACTTGCTTTGCCAACTTAATGCTGTTTTCTCATGCTGACTGAATATATTGGGTTAGGACTGGCCCAAATACCCTGTTAGTAAGGCTCTGTTCTATGAAACTTGAGAGCTTTAACTGATACCATACCGACAAAATCTGTGTGCTGGGATATTCTGCACTAAGTTCCATCTCCTGATCTATCCAACCCCAGCTTTCAACCTTGTAAGGAACCTGTTCATGCTTCTTTCTGCACTACAGCTGTGTTTTCCTTCCCTTAGCTATATCCCCCCAGCCATGTATGTGTGTGTGTGTGTGTGTGTGTGTGTGTGTGTGTGTGTATATGATTTTCTGTTTCCTTTTTTTAACTTTATATTTTCCAATAGTTATATTAAAACAAGATGAAATTGGGGCGCCTGGGTGGCGCAGTCGGTTAAGCGTCCAACTTCAGCCAGGTCACGATCTCGCGGTCCGTGAGTTCGAGCCCCGCGTCAGGCTCTGGGCTGATGGCTCGGAGCCTGGAGCCTGTTTCCGATTCTGTGTCTCCCTCTCTCTCTGCCCCTCCCCCGTTCATGCTCTGTCTCTCTCTGTCCCAAAAATAAATAAAAAACATTGAAAAAAAAATTAAAAAAAAAAAACAAGATGAAATTAATTTTAATACATTTTATTAAACCTAATATAGGTATGTGATATTGTTTCCTTAACATATAATAAATATATTTAAATTGTGAATGGTACAAATTACCCTTTTGAGCAGTTGGTCCTTTCTTTGTACAAAGTCCTTGAAATCCAGTAAATATTCTGTATTTTTATAGCACCTCTCATTTCAGACTAGGAACGTTTCAAGTGCTCAGTAGCCCCCTGTGGTGTGGCTAACAATTGGATATTAGCTCTAGACAGGGAAGGTAATTTCCTAGAGAAAATTTAAAAATCCTTCTGGTCTTCAATGTTTTCCTAATTATTTTTAATATTTTCTTTTAGTAAACATTTCGAACAAATGAAATAAATCAAACAAAGAAGGAGAATAGTACAATTAATCTGATTATTGAAAGTTTTCAAGATTTAGGACTTTCCTTTTTAAATTTTTTTTTTCATTTGAAGATAGTTGACATACAGTATATTAGTTGCTGGTATATGTCATCGTGTTTTGACAATTATATACAACACTAAATGCTTGCCACAGTAAGTCTCGTTGCCATCTGTCACCACACAAAGTGCAGTCTTCACTGACTATATACTCTCTGCTGTCCTTTTCATCCCCATGACTTGTTTTATAACTGGAAGTTTGTACCTCTTAGTCCCTTAACCTGTTTCACCCATCCTCCCACCCCTCCCCTCTGACAACCACCAGTTTGTAATCTGTATTTATGTGTCTGTTTCTGTTATTGTTTGTTTGTTCGTGTGTTTTGTGTTTTAGGGTCCACCTATAAGTATACTCATACGGTATTTCCCTTTCTCTGTCTGCCTTATCTCACTTAACATACATAACACTCTCTAGGTCCACCCATGTTGTCGCAAATGGCAAGATTTCGTTACATTTAATGGCTCAGTAATACTCCAGTGTGTGTATACACCACATCTTTCTCCATCCTTCTATCGATGGACATTTATGTTGCTTCCATATCTTGTCTCATGGAAATAATGCTGCAATACATGTAGAGGTGCCTATACCTTTTTGGATTAGCATTTTTGTTTTGGGGGAGTAAATACGCAGTAGAGGAGTAATTGGGTTGTATGGTATTTCTAGTTCTCATATTTTGAGGAATCTTGATACTGTTTTTGATCGTGGATGGAACATTTGCATTCCCACCAACAGTGTACAAGGGATCCCTTTCCTCCACATGCTCACTGACATGTATGATTTCATGACTTTTTATTATCATTATCCATTCTGATTTGGATGAGGTGATATCTCATTGTGGTTTTGACTGGCATTTTCTTGATAAT